GGGACCGTTGGGGGCAGGGTGTGTGGCCTTATGACACACTTCCGGTGATGCCAGGGGGTGTGGCCTTATGACACACTTCCGGTGATGCAAGGGTGTGTGGCCTTATGACACACTTCCGGTGATGCCAGGGGGTGTGGCCTTATGACACACTTCCGGTGATGTCAGGGGGTGTGGCATATGCTAATGAGTTATGCTAATGAGTTCCCCTAGCTCTTTTTCTACGAAACGACCCCTGACCATAAGTCCCCATTTCCCGAAAACTAACTGTGGGTGAGGAGGTAGGGTGCACTGAGGTGAGGGAAAAGGGCTCGCCTTCACTAATTTGGTTGCAGCTTGGTGTAGTGGTTAAGTGCGTGGACTTTAATCTGAGAGAATTGGGTATGATTCCCCACTCCTCCACTTGCACCTGCTGGATGACCTTGGGCAAGCCATAGTTCTGTCAGAGCTGTTCCTGAAAAAGAGCAGTTTCTGTCAGAGCTCTTTCAGCCCCACCTACCTCACCGAGTGTCTGTTGTGGGGAGGGGGAGGGAAAGGAGTTTATAAGCCGCTCTGAGACTCCCTTGGGTAGTGAAGGGCCATGGGGTATAAACCCAATCTCCTCCTCTCCTCTTCTAATTAGTGACGTCCAGTGGAGTTCCCCACCCATCAAAACACATGAATGAGGCAGATATGTGGATATGGTCACCCCTGTAATGTCTAGCCTAACCCACACTTGGAACTGAGCAGGGTCTTTTGTGGGTGCCACCCTGCAAATGGGCAAGTTCAACAATGGCTTATCTGTTGTGGTGGTCACCCTGTGGAATGACCGGCCCTGAGGAGAACAAAATGGTTTTGTGAAGGTGTTTTTATAAATAGAATGGGGCTATTATCTAATCTATAACACTTTGTTCCGTATGTATCAGCTTTATTTGTTCAGTATGTATTGGCGGCCTGCTGCATATATTCTCCTGCTCATTTTTTAAACTTAAGTAATACCATTTTCCGTGTTGTTTAATGTATCATTTCTAATAATTTCTGATTTGTTTCAGGTTTCTCTAATCCTAGTCTTGTTACGTTGCTTATTAGTTGTCTCATCCTATTGATTGCATTGACTTAACACTATGATCTCCGCCCTGAGTCTCAGGGAGAAAGGCGGACTATAGATAAAGTAAATAAACAATAAGATGCCAAGAGTCCTCTTGGATCGAGCGCATCCCTACCCTGATGCAAACGGATTAAAGCAGGGGTGTCGAACTCATTTGTTACGAGGGCCGGATCTGACACAAGTGAGACCTTGTTGGGCCAGGCTACGCGTGTCACAAAATGTAATGCCAGCTGGCGGAGATAGAAACTTTATAAAGGACACAAACACAAAGAGGGTGGGTTTTTTAACTTAAAATAAAAACATGCTTAAAACATTAGCTCTGTAAACTGCAAACCTACTTTTGATTTATCGACCTTCACCACAGAAATCTCACGCTCAGAGTTCTGAGTCTAGGACCCAGGATAAGACATGAAATGGCTGAGTGATTAAGAGAGTCTGGTGAAGCGAGCAATGATGCAGCAGAACTGGAAACAGGAGATTGCCAGTTCCACTGTGGGCCTGATGGAAGCCCTCCGAGGGCCTGATCCTGACCCCGGGCCACATGTTTGACATCCTTGGATTAATGTATCCAGCAGTCCTGGCTGAAGGCTTGGCTCCCGCAACTGTCGCTGGCTCTTACGTCTTGAGCGCTATCGATGTGGTTTGGGACTGGATTTGTACTCTGGCATTCTTTGATTTTGCACGTACTCTCTAGAGCGGCTGCAGTAGTCCCATGACCAGTTCTCATTTAAGCGTCCATGATGTCCACGCTTTCACATCACACAAGTTCTTCGCTTCATGTCTGTCCTTCCTGTCTCCCGTTGTTGGGTCTCCGTTGTAGCTACTGATATGGGAAAGTGCCCTTCCTGGACAAATCACATGTTCTTAAGCTTCTGGTTTGGCAAGTCTGATGCCCCGGCTGACCTCGGGAAAGCAGCAGAGCTGGCGGGGAAAACGGAGCCTAACTTGTGTCCCATTTTAAAAATCTGAATTAAATCCGCTTCCCTTTAAATTAGCACGTTACTGAAATGGTAGCATTACGGAATTGGAAGAGACCAGGATGTCACCTGGGCCACTGCCCTGTAACCAAGCGTCCCCCCCTAAACTGAGTTAGTGTGAGCTAGCTCACAGTTTTTTCGCCTCTGGCTCACAGGAAGGAGGGCTCCAGAGCAAACTAATTTATGCAGCAGCCACATCCCGCAACTGTCGCTGGCTCTTACGTCTTGAGCGCTATCGATGTGGTTTGGGACTGGATTTGTACTCTGGCATTCTTTGATTTTGCACGTACTCTCTAGAGCGGCTGCAGTAGTCCCATGACCAGTTCTCATTTAAGCGTCCATGATGTCCACGCTTTCACATCACACAAGTTCTTGTCTGTTCTTCCTGTCTCCCGTTGTTGGGTCTCCGTTGTAGCTACTGATATGGGAAAGTGCCCTTCCTGGACAAATCACATGTTCTTAAGCTTCTGGTTTGGCAAGTCTGATGCCCCGGCTGACCTTGGGAAAGCAGCAGAGCTGGCGGGGAAAACGGAGCCTAACTTGTGTCCCATTTTAAAAATCTGAATTAAATCCGCCTTCCTTTAAATTAGCACGTTGCTGAAATGGTAGCATTACGGAATTGGAAGAGACCAGGATGTCACCTGGGCCACTGCCCTGTAACCAAGCGTCCCCCCTAAACTGAGTTAGTGTGAGCTAGCTCACAGTTTTTTCACCTCTGGCTCACAGGAAGGAGGGCTCCAGAGCAAACTTAATTTATGCAGCCGCCACGTCGCTCGCTCAGAACTTTAATGACAGTAGCTCACGAAGTAGAATTTTTGCTCACAAGACTCCGCAGCTTAGAGGGAGCATTGCCTGTAACTGAAGCTTTCTCTTTCGTTCCCGGATATTTTGATCAAATTCAGTCTTGTTGGGTTTCAGAGCACCAGCAGAACCATGGCCCAGTATGTTTAGAGCCACCTCTGAGATGAGAATTCATTTGATTCTTGCTTGGGATATGTCCAATTTAGTTACCACAGGACATCTGGGCAATGTAGGATCAGAAACCCTCATTGCCGATCTTCAGAAGGCAGTTTTTGGTGACTGTCCCACAATGACAGAATAACCTCCCCAGGGAGGTACACCTGGCCCCCTCATTGTCAGTCTTCAGAAGGCGATTTAAGACAGTTTTATTTAGGACTGCATTTAACTAACTACTTTTTTTATTGGCAGTCCTAATCTGGTGTTTTTAAATTGTTGTAATTTTTATTGTGAGCTTTTTGTAATGTTTTATCTATATTGTAAGCCACTTTGAGTTCCCCAAGGGAGAAAGATGGCTAATAAATATTTTAAAAAAGAAGAGAGAAGAGATTGGATTTATACCCTGCCTATCACTACCCAAAGGAGTCTCAGAGCATCTTATAAATCCCCTTTTCCCTTTCCCTCCCCACAACAGACACCTTGTGAGGTAGGTGGGGCTGAGAGAGCTCTTTTGAGGACTGTTCTTGTGAGAACAGTTCTGAGAGAACTTGTGATTGTCCCAAGGTCATACCGGCAGCTGCATGTGGAGGACTGGGAAATCAAACCCAGTTCTCCCAGATTAGAGTCTGCACTCTTAACCACTACACCAAACTGGCTAAGTAAAATAGTAAATAAAATTAATGTTCCAGGCCTTGTCCCTAAAAGCTTCCCTGACTGATGCCTGACTGTGTATGAAGCTTGCCTTGGTCAGAGGGGACTGGCAGGTCTGTATGCCTTGTACACCTCTTCTTTTGTTACTGGTAGGTGGATGGAGAGCTGGAGGCACTCTTGGAGAACGGAGAAGGGCTTTCAGATAAGAACCAAGTTCTCAGCTTGTCCCGACTCATGGTGCGGATTGAGACTCTGGAACAGAAGCTCACGTGTCTTAAACTCATACAGGTAAGGTAATCCCTTCTTCTTGGCTGGTTGTGAAGAAGTTAAATTCTATGGAAACGTTTTCTTTTAACTGTAGGGCTGAGAGATTTCGGGAAAGGGAAATCAGAATAGAGAAATGCAGTTTCGTAAGGCCGGATGAGTATCTACTGACTGATGGCAGGAAAGTATAGGCGGGGGACCCGGTTGCCTACTCTAAACTGGCCGGTGGGCTACGGAGGGTGCTGCCCCATATTTTGATATACACCATTTCTGCTGCAGCTAGGTTCTTCGAGTCCAGTAGCGCCTTGGAGGCCAACAAGATTTTGGGGGGTATAAAAAGATTTCAGGGGAGCTTTGAGTCTCAAAAGCTCATGTCCCGGAACTCTTGTTGGTCTGTAAGGTGCTCCTGGGCTCATCTAGTCCTTCTACTGCAGACCAACATGGCTACCCTCCGAAACAAATTCCTGCTACATCACTCTGACTATTCCATGAAGTCTCCGTGCTTTAAAAACCAAAACATAAGACTGATGTGGCAGGTAACACAGCGAACGATTGGAAGAGTTCTGTGCAGCAAACAGTTATGAGAAAGCGGGTCCTTAAGATTACTGGAGACCTTGGGTTGGATACTTGCGGATCTGTTCTATTAGTGGAATTGCTTTCCTCTGGTGGAAGTGTCCTGCTGGAGGAAAGCACCTCCAGTAGCAGAATAGATCTGCGGGATTCAACTAGGAGTGCGCATTCGGCAATAGCCGAACTGGAAAAATACCCCAAAAATACTTTGTCAGTATTTTTCAGGTATCGGGTATTAGAGATCTGTATTCGGCTACAGGTATAGCCAAACCCGAAAGAGCCGATATTATCCGGCTTTTTTGGGGGGGTTCATTTTGCTATACCGAAAAAAGATCTCATTTAAACCTAACAAGCTGAGCCGCCAGTCAGCTGTTGGGTTCAAATGCCTTTCTTTCCCTCCCAGAGATCGAGGAAGGAAAGAAAGGCATCTTAAACATGCCTGGGTTCCCTGCTTGATCTTCTCCAGGTGTCCCAAACAGGTGTAGTCTGCAGTTGTCTGCCTCTGGTCTTCCATCACGGTCTCCCATGGAAAGACTAACCATGGCCAGCCTTCCTTAGCTTCTGAGATCGGGGAAGGGAAGGACAGGTATGCAAACATGCCCCCTTTCCTTCCCTGAGCCATTCGGGGGGGGCATGTTTAAATGCCTGGGCTCCCTGCCTGCCCTTCTCCAGTTACCCCATGTCAACTAGAGAAGGGAAGGCAGAGAGTGGAGGCTTTCCCCTGTCGATTTAACTCACAGCTGACTGACGGGGAGTGAAATTGACCGGGAAATCTGTAGGGGCTACTAGAGGGAAAGAAGGCATTTTAACATGTTTCCTTTCCCTCTGGTGGTGTATATCAGACCCGGATATATTCGGAAATACCGAATATTTCCCCAGTCCGAATACTTTACCGGTATTGGACTGCGGAAGTTCGGCATTTGCCAATATTTTTCGGGTCTGATTTACCCGAAGCCGAAAAATTCCGACTTTTTTCCCCCTCTTTTTTTTTTTGCACACCCCTAGATTCAACCCATCGGAGGTGGAAAGTGCTTTCAAGCTGCAGGCTACTTACGGCAACCCTGTAATGTTTTCAAGGCAGGAGACAAACAGGTGTAGTCTGTAATTGTCTGCCTCCGGTCTTCCATCACGGTCTCCCATGGAAAGACTAATCACGGCCAGCCTTCCTTAGCGTCTGAGATCTGAGAAGATCAGGCTAGCCTCGGCCATCTGGGTCAAGGCAGAGGTGGTTTGCCATTGCCTGCCTCTGCGTAGCGACCCTGCACTTCCTCAGTAGCCTCCCATCCAAATGCTAACCACGGCTGGCCCTGCTTAGCTTCTGAGATTTGATGAGAACCAACTATTCTGGGCTGTCCAGGTCAGGGCAGTTGAACCCATTAATTCCCATCAAAAAAACAGCCATGGAGGAAGAAGTAGGGAACAGACAGCTCTACATCAGGAGGGTGATATCATAAATGTGAAGGCTTAATCTAGGGAGGACTCTTTCTTCCCATTCCTTGGCAGATATTTTAGGGAGCAGTCTGGTCTTCCAATAAGTTTTTGGGCAATACTAATCTGAATATTTTTATTTCTTTATATCCCACTTGGCTCCGTAGTGGTGATCCAAAGCAGTTTTCCACTTTCTTCTCCCCCTCCTCTGTTTTATCCTCATAATCATAAAATCTCTGGGGGTGGGGTCAGGCTGTGACTGGCCTGTGGTCACCGTGCAAAGTTCCATGGCAGAGTGGAGATTTGAACCTGTGTCGGCCAGGTCCCAGTTTAACCACTAAACTGTCGTGGCTGTCACCTCTCTCTTTTTGTTTGCTTGTTTGCCCCTCTCGATTCAGCATGATGTGCCCCAAGGCACACAGTGAGGTCTTCCAGGGCCAAGTTTAGTTCTCCAGCTGCCATACACAATAACTTTCAGCCCTTTGTTGCTGAGTTGAAATCGGTTCAGCTTGTTGTAACTTCTGATGTACTGCAAAGAAATGAAACGTAGTTGTTCAGTGGTGTTCTGCCTGTTTGCTCTCCCTGTGGGCGGGAAGCTGAATTGCCGTT